ACGTCATACATAGTGGCTCATACATGGACTTATTACCTCTGCACATTTTACTTCATGATATCCCTCTGTTATTAAGCTTCTACTGACCCATCGTATTACTCAGTGAATCCGTGGCATGTTTGTGCGCTTTCGTTACATATCGTAGCAGTAATCGGCTGATTTTCGTTTCAGGCCACAAAATTCCCCGTTTGGGCAAGAGCACTCTAGAAATATCCTATGATACGAGCTCTACGCCGTTTTTCCTGCGGCCCTTGATTGATTAGTGATTAAGGCCGTTTGTTCCGTATGTGTAGTGCATGCTTTTTAAGGAACGAGTTAACGGTGATCTTTCCCCGCCGGCTTTCAAGATTCGGCGCTGACTTCCGTCGACTTGCAGGACCTTGTGGTCCAAAAGTATGACAGAATAACTACGACCGCGCAGTTTTCGGCCGTTATAGCAACAAATCAGTGCATTCAAAACCGGTTACTATTACATGGATTTCCTGTGCATCACACAATCCACAAAACACAATATAACAAAGGTGTGTAAATAGTATTCATGCATATGTCAAACTCTGGAGAAATGTTGGATAATAATATTCATTATTCCACTCACACATTTGGGTTGCTAAAAGTGTATCACAATTAGCACTTAATTAACAAATATGTTAAGAGCCATCATATCTATTGATTCTGATTCCAATTAAGATTTGACAAACTTGGTACACGGTCTATTTTTGAGATTATTTAATTTGTCGTAAAGAGACTTCGAATCCAGCCATTCCACAACCGTAAGACTCTGCAATCCGTAGAAATTCGTGATCCGCCTCGAATCAGCTCGAAGAGGAATACGATTCCCGCCAGGCATAAACCACCAGCCCATAGGAGATATGGTCCTGTCAACTGAACTACACGCAGTTTCTCGGGACCGTCATCTTCTCCAATAGTTTTTCTGACTCTCTGCCCATCTAGATCCAAACTGTACGCAAGCATATGTTCCCACTGATTGAACAATCCTGACTGCGACAAGCGCAGGATGAGATTGTTGATGATGTGGATAATAAAGTGATTCTGGCGAACAGCATAAGCTCCGAAACTGGGAGAACGAAAAGATTCTTCGACCTTGTGCAGCATGATTCGACCTCCCTCAGTATATTTTCTATAGCGAGAAATGACATTAAATATTTTTTCGTCCATAAGAGTTGCAGCTTTCCCTGTAATAATTATATCTCGCATGCTGTTGTCTCTATCTTCTGACTTATATATGTAAATTATTCCTTCTTTTAGTTGCCTTGACAATTCTTGAAAATTATATTCCATGTCATAATAATTATTTATAGTGACATACATTCGGTCAGTCGCTGCCATGGCATCATGGATGGTATTCAGCTCTTTAAAGTGTCTTGGCAAAGTAAGAAATCCCAGAAGTAGTCCCGTATAAGAGCTACCGGCTAAGATGTGTAAAATGATAACACACATAACTGCCATTTGTTGAGATGACCAAGGCATGGGCCTTGAGGTACCTCCTGTTAGGATTATTTCCATAATATCGAGGGCGGCGAACACTGTTTTGGATATTTGAAAGCGACGATATTGAACCAGTATCCACGCAAACACCAACAGCACCAAAGTGGAAACAAACATGATCCAAGTTGTCCATTGAAAGGGCAACATGAGCACCAATCCGAAAGGGATGCGTGGGGCCCGACGCACCACCAGGAAATCGTCCGACTGCAAATAAAAATCAACATCACTTCCTCGCGCCCTTCATTAGATTCAGCAAACTGATAAAATCAAAATCTAAGTAACCGTTCAAAACGGCAGGAAGTGGAAAAAGCAACATTACAATTTATTTTCTTAACCAATACTACGATACTGATGAACAACTAATGATGCTAAAATTGTACATACTTTCTCGCAAGTGTTTTCACGCAAAATTAGGCAAAAAATACTCAAATTTTCGAAAAATTTTACTTGAACTTATTTCATTACCTATCATTATGAAACATATATAATTAAAGGGAAAAATTCTTATGTTTAATATTTTAGTTGCAAAAAGACTCAGAAAAATATTTTAACTTTTGCAATTTTCAAAAAATTAGGGTTCTTAAGGAACATGAAACCTTCATCATTCTCTTAAACTGTCTGTACACTAACCAACAAAAAGCAATTAATCTAAACCGATGCAGAATTTTTTACATTTTGAAAATGTCCCAGGAGTTTAATGTAAAGTACCCCGCAAAAAAATTAAAATGTCATTTTCAAATTCAAGAAGCCATGACATCAGTAAAATCGATTAGGGAATATCAATTTTGGAGAAACTCGGCTGAACGGTTTAGCTCGTAACGGACGCAGATAAGGACGGACAAGCAGACGTTTTACCGTCATTCGATGTTTTGGTATTACGGACTCTCAAGACATGGATTCTGGTTACACCAGGATTTTATTGCCACCAGGATGGTAGAGTATTTTTTAAATAAATTTAGGAACTAGATTTATCCACTTTATTGTTACGAAGACGCGTCAGCGGCTCTCGCGTCAGTCTCGCTTGGCGTGGGAACCGTGTCACCAGTAACAATAAGTACGTCAAAAGAATTGAGTGTGTTATCTGCAATCTTACTAGGAACATTATCTGAGACAGTTGTTATATTGAAAAATAAATTTTAAAATGTAAATAATTTTAATATTACCAATTTTAAAATACAACAATAATTCACTCACAATAAAAAAATCCTCTCAATTGGAAACACTACAATTATTCCAATGAATATTTCCGGGAACAAAAAATATAACTGTTTTAGTTCTCTCCTTTATATTTTATATTTAGTATAAAATAGAACTATCTTGCATTTAGCTCTTTTTTTACTTACTCGCCTTACTTCATTAGACGAGTAATCATTATAATCGTGTGCCAGAAAAAAAGCCCCTTTTCGTCAGAAAAACTCTTATTGTTGATAACTGTTAAAGCAAAATTGCGTAAATCTTGTGTGTCTACGTAGTATATAAATTCCTCTGCCATGTTGTGTTGTCATAATAAATGTGTAGTGAACTCTTGACCGAAACATCCGAAACATCGATTGATGGAAAAACGTCAGTCTGTCTATCTGCCGTCAACGTTAGCACCTAAATGGTTCAGATGGTTATTTTAATTTTTGTGAACACTTTGTATAAACATCAATTACATTCTAAAAATATTCTCAAAAATGGTCTCAATTCGTTTATTATAAATTTTGCTCTCTGATAGCGAAACGGCGCATAAAGAAATCGCGCTATACCATTTTAGATGAAAGTTATGAAATTTCCGAAAATTGAAAATGTGCTATTTTTCGACTCTTACTACAAACTACAACTACAATACCCAAGATAGAATTTTTTAGTTTCTCGCACTTCTTAAGAATAGAAAGTAATTTGCACCGGAAACCGGCAAATTTTAGCAGAAAAAAACTTATTGCCGGACCCTGGTAACAAAAAACTGGATAAATCTTGTTGCTGTATGTGGTAAACTAGCTGAAGTACCCCGCGTTACCGGTATTTAGCACAATCATTTTTTAAACAGGAAGAGGTTTTCCCATCCTTTTTCGTGTTTCCGCGGAATCTACTTGTAATGTATCCTTGTTTCGTCTTGCTTAACCTCTCTCACCCTTGCTCCCATGTGCAAATACTCTGCCACCCTGACTTTTCACACTAAAAATGAGAGAGAGAGAGAGAGAGAGAGAGAGAGAGAGAGAGAGAGAGAGATAGTACGATAAAAAAACTAATCTAAACTAAAAAATAAAATACATGTACTCAAATAATATTTTTGTGGAATTTTATGTATTATTCCCATACTTTCAATAAATGCGAAATTGTAAAACGTATTCTTTTTGACATATTTTTCTTAATGCGTGTTTATAAAGAAAAGTTTGAAATTGATCTTTGATCACACTCCTTGGCGATTGAAATATAAATAAAGGTGCCTTTAACTAATTTCAAGTACGCGTTTTAGGGTCCTTGAGTAATAGTGGCTGACGGTATGGAGCCATTAACCACTTACACATATTTAATATCTCCGAAAATCCGAGAGTACACAGTAAATACTGGATTGATTAACGTTTTTCTATTGTCTAAAAACTTTTGTTATATTTTCTACAACATTAAAAATCAGAGTTGACACACATCCAATTCCTTCAATTCAATTCTAACTCTCTTTTACTTTAATTAAACTTCTTGCCGTACTTATTCTCATCAATGTAAATAATTATTCCTTCACTAGCCAAAGGTACGCTTACCCATTAAACACTTTCCTACAAAAATTCGTCCATCTCTCACAGTTTCAGTTTAAAACGTAAATCGTTCATAATAAGTTTCCCTTTCACTCGTGCAACTCGCATATACGTAACAATCATACTTAATGTACTACAACGTAACATAAACTATTTCATATAGAATACGTGTACGTATTCATATCTTTTGTCGATAATATCAAACATCCATTAGCAAGATGTCTTTTCCAAACATTTCATATTTGAAGAACTTATCTCTTAAACACTTGATGTATTCACACCCAGACGAAATGAAAATCAATATCCGAGTTACATTTATAAAAAGAGTGAAAACAATAGAACCATTTTTAAATGTAAATATTTCGCATTAGACAATTGACGGTAAAATTAACAAACAGTTTTCACTTATCCTAAAGATATACGCAATTCTATGCGCGCAGCTAAAGTATTGCACACTGATGCACTGTTGAATATGTGATGTAATGCTAGGTGAAGTCTGTTAACAAAAGTTATTATTTTGTGAATATATTAGGGTTGATAGTTGTAAATCGTAACCTACAGCACTCCAGACTTTCAAAAGAAGCTTCCAGATACGTTACATCGATATTGATCCAGTGCATTCAAATATTATTGTGCTGTAAACGCAACATCCATGTTTTATGAGTAACAGACACCAAAAAATAGAAAAATTTTGTGTCTGTCCGACCGGCCGTCTCTTTTTCACCCTAAGGTCTAAACCGTTTAGCCGATTTTCTCCAAAATTGATATAACCAGATCCATCTGAATTAATTCGAGTTTCAAGTTTCAAACGGATATTTTGATTTATTTTAAGGTACTTTACGTGATGCCTCAAAAACATTTTCAAACTTTTATCAAAAAACACTCCAGATTTTTTATTAAACTTTGTTCTCAGATAGCGGAAAGGACGCGTAAGACCCATGTTCAATTTGTAGTTCCCTATCTCTATACCTCCTATTAGTGAATGGCCAGGAAACCTTGATGTAAAAAAACTTAAAATTAGCCAAGAGATATAATTACTATTCAACTCCCCTTCAGAATGTACCAAAATTATCCATGAATTGAGGGATTCCCTACTCCAAAAATTATTTTAATGTCAAAATATGCCCAAATCAATATTTGCTGATGTAATTGTAATAAATGTTTAACTCAAATATTTGATCATTTACCTAAAACAAATCTGTTGAAATATTTTAATGACTCTTCCCTTTATATAGGGTAAAGTAGTTTAATATTGTTGATATATTTAAACAATTTTTTGAATATATTAAAACCAATCTTTGTCTTTGCAAAAGTATGTTATGCATGATTCAAACTCTTGTTGATGTAAGAGGATAATAGGTTTAATACTGTTCATACGTTTTATCCATTTTTTGTTATTATGTTAAAATCAATTATATGCCTAAAACATCTTATGTATGATTTAAACTCTTGTTGGTGTATGGCTAAAATAAGTATAAGTACTGATAATCTGCCTAAATCAAATTTATGTTATGTTGTTCTAAGTAATCCTTCTTCACATAAATGAATGAAATGTATGATCTATTTTTTGTTAATGTAACTTGGGTCACTAATGACCAAGAAGATGAAAAGCAACCTGAAATAAATAAATGTTTAAAGAACTTACACATTCCCTTTGTCAATAAGCATCAAATATTTTGTACTTTTTGAAACTTTTTCTATCCTTTCTGTATCCTCTTACAAAACTTATTCAATAAATACACAAATTTTGACTTTCAAAACTTCCTACAACGTTGCATCTCTTAACTAATTAATACGTTAACATTTGTTCAAAAATATCTCCTTTTATTGTTTCCCCTCTGTTAAAGATAATTTCTACTGTAGTAGACGTACGGATGGGTGGAGAGACGGACGGAGTGACCACAAATATACGGACAAACGAACGGGCGGACGTTTTAAAAAATCTGTTTCGGTATTAGAAGACCCCAAAACGTGTATTTCCGTTGAAATCTCGAAACAGTTTTTATCCGCAGCATTACTTAACTTTTACTTTACTATGCATATTAATGCAATTTATAAAAAAAATACAATTTCTCAATCGCAGGTTCAATTTGTTATTCAAATTTTTTCCTCTTTTGTTTCAAAGTTAGGTAAACAATTGGTGCTGTTTCTGTTTTCGGCAAACTGTATTAACTTTCAAAAATTGCAAAAGGAACATTGAAAAAGTAGAATGTTCAAGACAGCTTTTTGTGTTGTAAATGAATTTTCTTCTAAAAGATCAAGAACTTAAATATTGAAGATAGAGATTTTTTTTAAAATTGGAATCTGTTGTTTAAAGACAGACTTTGAAATAAAGTTTTGTACAACTCTTTGTACAACAACAAAAGTAGTTTTCATGTAATGTGTGCTTCAATTCAGTACAATTTATTAGAAAAATATATTTTTTGATAGTTACTAGTAAAATCTGTTACTTTTTGGGCATGCACATCG